CATGAAGGGGTGATGCTGTAGTGCACATACCTGTGTGTTATGACCTTGAGTACGGCCAAATCGATGACACAAGCTTGCTCTTCAGGTTGTATTTTAATAAAGTAAAACTACATGATGATCATTCATGCACATGCACTCATATATGATAATTTACTCTGGTCTCATATCATTGTGGTTTAAAAATTGCAATATTTGATGAATATAGCTGCATTAACCAGTAAACCAAATGCATTCTTGTCCGAAAAGTATACCTGTCAGTTTCATTGCTTGGGTCATAATACCCATCTTCAAGCAAACATTTTAATTGATCCTTGAAGTAGCCTTCCATTCTGTGTGACAGCTCTCTCCACCATCTCTCAATTTTGTTTTCGGTGGAAGGTCCATATAGAACACAGTCATCTCCATTCTCCACATCACCATGTTGTGCTCGTAAATAACTGTGGATAGTAGACATCACACCAGTTTCTGTTCCTCTATCCACACGTATTCTTGAGGGAAACACTATAAAATACAGAAAAAGTTACACAAATTTTTGTACAATAATGTTAACATGACTATAATATATGATTGTGTTCAAGAAGGGTGCTAAAACAATGTCTATCAAGAAAGGATGATTATTTCAAATTTCATACTCAAGGTGCATTGAAATGAGTCTGGAGCATATTTGAGGGTGAGTGATGCTCAATGATTAATAAAGGGTATTAGTTAATAATATTAGGATGTTAGGGTTTGTAATCCAAGTGAGAATATATACATTTTAAGACCTAACCAGGAACGACTGCGAAAAATGCAGCACAAGGTCCTCTGCTAGGAATTGAACCTACGGCCCTGCGATTCCGGTGCAGCGCTCTAACCAACTGAGCTACAGAGGCCAGCTGTCGGGCTGTAACCGTAAGTTCATGTATATATAGATAATCGGGTGTGCGGGTTGTGATAAGGTAGACTTGAATGACTTAGATTATTGCACTTCACTTGGCGGAATTAATATTAGGATGTTAGGGTTTGTAATCCAAGTGAGAATATATACATTTTAAGACCTAACCAGGAACGACTGCGAAAAGTGCAGCACAAGGTCCTCTGGTAGGAATTGAACCTACGGCCCTGCGATTCCGGTGCAGCGCTCTAACCAACTGAGCTACAGAGGCCAGCTGTCGGGCTGTAACCGTAAGTTCATGTATATATAGGTAATCGGGTGTGCTGATTATGTTAATTTAATAAGGAAGGCTTAAAACACACCCCTCCTATTAATTAACTTATAGGGGCAAAAACGGTGTTTTTAGCTCGCGTGTTAAAAAAAGAATACAGCGTATATAAACCTATGCATGACATTATAGTTAATACGGTTTTCCCCTGAGATTATTAAATGTCTTGCACGTGCCAGATAACACGGAATGTTGTTTAGGTGTAATATTTCACATCTCTTGAAAGTTGATTTCTCACCTCGGTAACGAATGCTAGTGTTTTCATGAGTTGCTCATGGTGGATGTGTATCCTAAAGTTTCAAATGCTGTAAAATATGATAGTATGAATATTAGTCTAGAAGGATCATCTTTTAGAAATTCGTGGCTGGGCGAAATTAGCAAGAAATTTGCGAAGCAATTTAGATGATGCTAGACGTATTTGACATGTTATGGCCTTTCGACGACTTGAGCCGAATAATAACACCATTTTTAGCGATCTTGTTTGCGTCGTGTGTTTCGGATATTAATTAAACATGTTTATATTGTTAGTTCTTCAGAAAAGCGCAACAAATGGTATTATGTCATCAACATATCAATTTCATACTCCTCGACAGGGCCGTTGAGAGGTTGGCGAGTGCCCGGGGCAAAATTTTTTTGGGGTCCCCCTGTCCAAAAAATTTTTCCAGAAAAAAATTTTTCCGGAGAACAACCCCCCGGGACCCCGTCGCCAAAAAGTTTTCGGTCAGTGAACCATTTTAGGGGTAAAAAAAAATTTTTCCGGAGTAAAAAAATTTTCCTAACGAGTACGTTGTAAATGCTTTTCAGGGAAAGCAATGCCTTTCCAGTTTCTCAATTTTTTATGCCAAATTTCGGTACTTAGCCCAAGAAAACAGATATCTTGTCCTTTGCGCGGAAATATTTAACACACAAAAAAGACTGGGGCCCAACAAAAATTTTTCAGGGGCCCCCAGCACCTCGGGACCCGGGGCAATTTGCCCCCCCCCCCCTGCCCCCCGTCTCTGCGGCCCTGCTCCTCGAAAGCGTAAATTTACGGATACCAAAGTTGTTGTATTCACGGAGGGATAAAATTAACACAGCCGGGTCGTGCGCGAAATTAGACAGTTCAAATTTGCGAGAGTTATTTATCGCGGTTTCGCGATGTGGGAATAAGTTGACCGCATGAAATTACTTTTGAATACATTTTCCAGAATGGTCATCGATCAAATTTTTAGGTTTTTCATTATAAAGGTAACAAAATAAGGTTTTAAACGAGCTTTGCGATCTATCCCACCGCTGACCATCCACTTTGTCAGGAACGGAATAATGTTTTCATTTTCTATCACGAATTAAGGAATATGACAAGTAAAAATGATCTTTCAAAAAAATTAAATATGCATCGGTGGTTAAGCGGCCAAAGCAGTTTGTTTACAAACTGGTCGTTCCAGCTCCAGATTGAAATTGTATCTGGAGCTGGCTCCAGATTCGCCAATCTGGAGCTGCCAATCTGGAGCTGTCTGGCTCGTTATAACATATTGACCTATAAATTCTACGTTGTAAGTCAATAAGTGGCCAACGCTCGAGCCTCAAATTTTGCTATTTTATTTCCTAGTACATGTTCGTGGCCCTTAAAGATAGACAAACATTTCATGTGTATGTGGCTTTCGGAAATACTCCATAAATTGCTACGATTTGGGATTTCGCGATTGAAAACCGAAATGATTTGTGCGATGTCGGGCCGATTTGCCAACCGAGCGCGCTAGCCTGTTATTTTGACAGAATATCATACCTCTACACTTTTCAGTAGTAATACATAATGCGCGCATTGTAATCATATACATATCGTTTAATTTAGCATCAAAAAACTTGATAAAATGAAAACTTGTTGTATTTTCTTAAATGTAAAATGCGCAGCATGTTGCGTACAATGTTGCGCAGCATGTTGCGTATCAAAGAAAAAAAAGAAGTTGACTTTATTAGACTGAAATAAGCAAGATTTCCGTTACATACATGAGGCGGCTTTGCATGTGCTCTGGCAACGATCACACCATTGCGCTCCGGAACCAACATGTTTTTTATCAAGTTTTTGAAAGCTAAATTAAAAGATATGTATATGATTACAATGCGCGCATTATGTATTACGGCTGAAAAGTGTAGAGGTATCATATTCTGTTAACTATAACAGGCTAGCGCGCGGCGCTCGGCCGGTTGGCAAATAGCCCGACATCGCACAAATCATTTCGGCTTTCAATCGCCGAAATCCCAAATCGTAGCAATTTATTGAATATTTCCGAACGCCACATGCACAGGAAATGTTTGTCTGTCTTTAATTTAAGAAACTAGGACTAGGAGATAAAATAGCAAGATTTGAGGCTCGAGCTTGGCCACTTACAGCGTAGAATTCAGTTATAGGTCAATATGTTGTATAAGACATATGCAATCGACATTTATTCGCGACGTTCGCCAGTAGGGACTATAATACTTCCAAAGCTATTAAACCTATGTCCTATAACTTAACACATTTTATCATCAAACAATATACATCTATAAACTTATTATTAAACTGATACAAAACGGAAACATTTACTTGTTATACTAGAAGTCACTATCGCAAGAGAAGTGCTGCCTCACCACCAAAGTCCTGGGAATTGATTATACCAATAAACTTCATTCACTTAAATTGCCTTATACACACTGTATGTATGAATTTATTTTGTTTAAGAAATATCGAAAGTATAACATGCAATAATTACTATATATACTATAACGTGTACTTCGGATTTTCATATTTAAATGTATGCTCGTGATTGTTGGTACCAATGTTTTAAACTCAATCTTCACTTGTCAAAACGTCTAGAAGATCACAATTAGGAATATACACGATATGTCTTTTAACATGATATGACCAGTTTGTTGCAAGTTTTGATATTCTTTCTTTCCAAGGTAATGATAGTCCATTCTGTATTTTCCATTTTCCATATTGTACAGGTAGGATCCATTGTTGGCCACCATTATTGTCCAATAACTTGTTAGGTTACTGTACATATAAAGGTATGTAATATCTTGACATACAATGTTCCTGACATCCATATGGTAGATTCGAAACAAGTACAGCAAAATTCAGATTCCATCAGATTCCATCCCATTGCATTAGATGTAATATACAGTATCCATACAAACGTGTAAATCAGCATTCTTGTTTTAATAGAAATACATTTCCGTTAATCTAGAAGCTCCCATCCATTTTCATGCGATGTAATATATCCATATTATATTTTGACTTTAACAACCATTTGGTTTCATCCAGCAGTTAACATGGCACCATTCACATCCGTCAGAATTGCAAAAGTATAGAAAAAATAATTGCCAGCATGCATGAGATATTCTCTTACATTGCACATAAATGAATGAAAATAAAAGTAGGGCAGAGGGAGGGGGTTTAATTAACAAACAAAATACTTAACATTATTTCAACTTGCAAATCATAATATTTTCATACATACAGCGATAACAATGAGTAAATTAGTTATTATATAATAAATTAAATTATTTAAAAGGGTATATAGTCAAACTACATACCAAAATATAACTGGGACCCATATATGAAATCCCTCTCTTATTCAACCTCAATAGTTTGTTGTTCTAAATGCACTGCTAGTAGCCTATGCAAACTGTTCTAGCCTGTTTTCTTCTTCAAGCCTATATTGTAAGTTAGCTGATGATTTCAAGCTTGTTAATCGTTCATACGTCATTGGTTCAATGACACAAGATGCAAGTGATTTTACTCTACTAATAGCAAAATAAGAAACTCCAGCAGTTCTTTCAGATTTGCCAATATCTATCCATGCTTTTGTGTATTGTTAGAGCCCAAGCAAGCCTAAGAGGTAACTGTTGTCTCTCATGGAAGCCTATTTCTGTCTGTGATGTGACAGTGATTGGATATATTGGGATACACAATGGTTGGTTTTCATTAAAAACAGGTCCTCTATAGTTTTCAAATTCTACTATTACCGCAATAGGTAAGTCAGGTGGTTGATGGTTGTTCTGATAGATAATATCAACAACTGTCCCAGTAGCACCATTGCAGAGACCAACACTTGACCACAAATTCATGGTTAACATGACCCTAGCACCTTTTGCTAGAAACACAACAGGTTCTAACCCAGACATATCATCTGAGGATATCTTTTTTGCCAATGCTGATGATTGGCGAGCATTAATATGAGCAACTGGATGCTCAAGTTTTGTTAGCTGCTCATGGTTGTAATTAGCAACTTGTTCATTACTATAAAAGAGTCTAGTAGAATCTTCAGTCATCAACTGTTGAGTTGCCTTTGCGAAGTCGTAATAACAAATCTCTGAACTGTACTTGCTCAGATGTCATACCCTGCACACGTTGATTTACCGTCAGTTTAACAACCTTGTCAAACATATGATATGCTGGATGACCTTGTTCACCAACAGCGTTTGATGGTCTAGCATGGTAAAGAGGTTTATCTGCTACTGGTAGCAATTGACCTGGATCACCAGTTAAAATCAATGATTTTCCTCCAAAAACGTTGTCATTATAACCAGTTGCTTGTTTGCAACGCTTGTCTATCCAACCAAAAGTAACTTGGCCAAGCATGGAGTATTCATCAATAATGATGTATCCAATGTTATTAACACTCTCTTGTAACCTACACAAGCTTTGTCCTGTTAGGTCTTTTTTACCTCTTGATCCTATAGGTAACTTTAATAGAGAATGCACAGTTACACCTCTAATGTTATAAGCTGCTTTACCTGTGGTGGCAGCAACAGCACATTTACTTTGCAAAAGATTTCTAATAGCATTAATAAGGTAACCTTCACCAGTTTCTGCAACACCATTTATAATGAGACATAATGGCTCTTTCTCGGATGATATATCATCAAAATGAGACTTAACAATATCATAAGCAAGTTTTTGCATTTCACTAAAACTGTTGATGTCAACAACAACATATTGCTCATCAATAGTGTATTCCTCTTTGTTTGTTTTTATCCATGTTGGCATTTCTTGGATTTGTTGTTGAGAATAATCGACTCTGTCACGATGCCAGTCATATGTGGACTCTGGTGTTTGTTCAGAGTTGTCAAAAGGAGTGTTGAGGTCTGATAATATCATCCACTCTTCTCGAGTTGTCTCCTGTTCTTCAGAAGGTTCATCTTCTGATTCTTGAGTTTGAATGACAGCTTGTAATTTATCAAACCAGTCTGGAACATTAGACTGCCCATAAGGTGTTTGTAAAAAATCATGCCAACAATTGATCAGAACCTCGTCAGTTGGTTCTTGCATGGTCACTATTGTTTTGGGTTGTTCTCCACGGTTTATACCTCAAAAGTTGATATTTACAATATAGGCCAAAATTTGGACCTTTGGGATTAGAGAATACGTTGGAAATATTCGTGGTATAATATTCTCTGGTAATTTTGTCAGTTCATTGTTAACAACTTTGTATGTTGTAGCAAATTGAACAAAGTTCATATTTATTATATTTTGTGAACTCTCATATTGTTCACGATTAGCATACACATCAAGAAGTGAATAATCAGTGCATGATTCACCCTCTTCAATATTTGCAGTATCACGCACTCTACGTGAACCATTTAGACTAACTGGCATCACTTTAAAGGATGAGCTGTGGAGTTTTAAAGACAACAAATGATGCATGGTCTCTTGAGCTGCATAATCTCTTTCACCAAGAGATTTCATAACTACCTTCTTAATAACTCTACGAGGGTCAGTATTACTGTCAACATTTTGCACAATAGAATTGAATGCCTGTTTCAATATAGGTGATCTTGGTTCACCTTTAGCTGCATATTTTGTGAGATATTCAACACAAGCATAGTGATCAATAACAACTTGAATATCACAGTTAGCTCTCCATCCTTGGAGCTGAAGTTGTTGATGGTTATTTAATCTAGAGTCATTTCGTTTAGTCACAATCTTAGCTCGATAATGCTCATTATCACCTGAAGTATGATTTTTTTCAAATTCTAATTTTGTCTTAGGACAAATATCAAAAGGGAAATGAAATCTACATTTCAACTCGGTTTCATTTGACTTCTTTCTAAGACAATAACTTGTACTACAACGAGTGTGTCGTTGAACCATGTTTAATAGATCTACATAATCTGATTGTTTTTCATGTTCAGGAATGTCATGACTTCTTTGACATGGATGAATCTCAGGTCTTATCCACATGTCCTCATCTGGTGGATTAAGATTGACGGTTGATAATAACCAATCAACATACTGTGTCAGCTGCTTTCTGCCCAGCTTCAATATCTTGGTCTAGTTCAGTTGTGTCAGAACAATAATTTTCATCTTTAAATTTTTGAGCTAAGAAACCTTTCAAAGCAGTCTGAGTAAGTTGACACAAACCTGGGTCATTATTTAGTTTTGCAGCACCATGACAGTGGATACTACCTCTACCTTGGTATTCATATCGAAACCAGTGCCATTTTGCACAAAGTGTATCATAAAGCCAGTGTTTTACAAAGCTTTCTAATCTTTGGGTGAAAAACCAATCTACAACATGGGGATTGTTGATCACATTTTGTCGTCTTACATCACTGGTAGAGTTACCTAACTCATTGTCAATATCAGTTTTAAATAAAGCATGTAACTCAGGCCAATGCATATCTGCAGAGGAGAAAGTGAAAAATAATGTTGGTGCTCCAACACTAGTTATGATAGCTTTGAGTTCCTCTCTTACTCTATTCCAGTAAGCATTAGTACCTGCAATATTGCCAACATATCTCGACACTTTAGACATAAATACACTAGCATTGTTACTGGCAGCCATTTCACGCAGTTCATCAATTGTGAGATGAGTTTCTCCTGGGTTCTGTTTGAGGAATATTCCACTTTGTTGTAAAATTCGTTTTCTTTGAATCATGTTAAAAACCCAGTAAGAAAATCTGGGGTGGTTAGCAAAACGGTATACCCATTTACCATCAATAATTTCAGCAAATTTTAGAAGATGCTTTATTCGTTCCTGAAGAGGGACATCCCTCAATTACTCACGTAATTTTTGAAGTCCTATTTGCCGCTCACTGACAGTTTCCTCTGACTGCTTTCTTTTTTTATACTCACTAGCTTTCTTAAGTCTAGCTTGTTTATCACTTTCATTTTCTATTAAAAGCCTCTTTTTCAGGACATACTCTTGATCCTTTACACAATTACTTTTTTGCTCTGAAGCTTTACATATATTTAATTGCACAGGTTCAATTTCAAATAAATTGGCATGCAATGTCACTAAAACAGAATACAAATATTGTTCTAATTCTAGAATATTAACAAATTTCATGTCAACAGCAGTGCCATTAGGATCAGGCATACCACTAGAGTCTCTGGCATGGGAGTCAAGTATATAGAAAAAATCTGCTTGCTTCATCAATGCCATCATATAGCCTTCTAATATTAAAATAGTACAACTATAATTTGAAAACACATTCAAAAGTGCTGTGTGAATGTCATGGTAGTGTGACTCAATTTATAAACCAAATTTGGTTTTTATTGTTTTCCTCATTAGGCACCACAGAATTGTGCTCTACACCAATAGATAGATCAGTGTTACCCCTTGCCACAATGGGCAGATCAGTGATACTTTTTGCCTCAACAGGCTCTACCACAATGGGTAGTTCAATGTTATTTTGTGCCTCAATGGGCTCTACCACAATGGGTAGACTGTTATTATTTTGTCGTACCACCACGGGTAGACTGTTACTGTTTTGTCCTACCATCACAGGTGGACTCTCATTATTTTGTCGTACCACCACGGGTAGACTGTTACTGTTTTGTCCTACCATCACAGGTGGACTCTTATTATTTTGTCCTACCACCACGGGTAGACTGTTACTGTTTTGTCCTACCATCACAGGTGGACTCTCATTATTTTGTCGTACCACCACGGGTAGACTGTTACTGTTTTGTCCTACCATCATAGGTGGACTGTTATGATTTTGTTGTACCACCATGGGTACACTTTTACTGTTTTGTCCTACCACCATGGGTAGTTCAACGTTAATTTGTGCATCAAAGGGATTCATAGGTGTTGTAGTTGTTTTCGCATGCACTACAGATGATATATTACTTGTGTCGATGACAGAATGGCATATCTCGTAAGAAAACATGTTCGTACAACTTGAAACACTGACAACTTTAGGTAAGTTATCTGCAGATAGGAATTCGACACCAGGTTCTAAGACAACAAAGCCATTATCCAGAGCTTGCAAATACATTTCGTCTCCTTGTAATAAGACATTATTCAATGTTGTTTTCGACCAATCGATCAGTGGGATATTTTGGGCAGTTAAAATTGCAGATAAACTCATAAAAACACATTGTTTGCCTCTAGATTGAACACTAAAAAGGTCATCGCCTTGATGTATTTCAGAAGAAAGAAATAGAGCCATACTACCTGAATTTTTCCGAAAATTTTCATAACTTGCATCCGTATAAAAAGCCTGTATGAAAATCAATTGTAAAATCTTGATTCTTGAGCACATGGAGTTGCGTGCGCAATACAAAATCTAGTTTCTGACCGCTCCCCTCATTTAACAAACGTTCTTGAAGCTTAATTATTCCCCCCGGATTACGACATCTTTACAGACAGACAGACAGACAGACAGACAGACAGACAGACAGACAGACAGACAGACAGACAGACAGACAGACAGACAGACAGACAGACAGACAGACAGACAGACAGACAGACACAAGATCGAGATCTCGACAATACATAGATCGCGCGAAAGACTGGGTGAGTGGACTCTGGAGAAACACCGCGTAGTCAAGAATAGTGTGCTGTCTCTACGAGGCAGCAACTATAGCCTAGATAACAGCAATTTTAGCCTATTACTGGAGATTTGTTGCGTTAAATATTCCTGCATTTATCTAGCGTATAAAAGGAAAAAGTGCGAAACAAAAAGAATAAAAATAAAAATAATACTTTAGAGTTTACTAGTGAAAAAATGCGTTTTTAGCACATTTTATGACCTACGACTTTACCCTCGACTTTACTCACGACACACGACTTTTAGCCCACGACACACGACATATAGGGACACTCGCACAATAGCTAGTATGTCGGTAAAATAAGTGTGGGTGACGAAAAGCCGAACAGTTCATGGGATGTGCTCGAATTGCGCACGTATAGTATGACTCCAAAAAACGTTCTACCATGGACGAATATTGGTAGGTTTATATTGTTCGTAGCAACTTCATTGGATAACATATATAATGCGCTTAAGTATATGACAATATGAAACGCACTCACCGGTTTAAAGTCGAACAGATGTGGCAAGAAAGCAGCCGTTTTCCTGTTCTGAAAACTTGGAAGCTTCGATATATCCGAGAAAAAGATACCACGGGCATTCTCGTGTACGAAAAATTTTCCTTTTATGTTGTCTCGAAGACCGTTGAAACCAGTGTGAACTGAGATAAAATTTGACTAGCTTTTGCTGATAACTGAACAATGTCGGCTTAGCAAAATGGGATTTAATACAGGCTATTGGCAATTTGGGATTGATACTTGGCAGATATTGCCCGGAGCAAAGTTTTCTTCCGGTCTGAAATTCGTCCCTTTCGGCCGTGTAAACACACGAGAACCACGGAACCGGACGAATTTGAGACCCCCTAACGGGACGAATTCTCGTGTAAACAGGCGAAAAAGGACAAATTTCAGACCGGTCCCAAATTCGTCCGGTACCGTGTAAAGGGGTATCAGAGATTTATACGTACTGTAATAAGAACAATTGTATAGACGATGCGTTGACTGATCCCTTACAAAAATTTCATATAGGAATGAAACATTTCATACATGAAATTATATTTTCACATGTGATAAGTTAATTTCATATAATGAAATTTCATTTCCATATATGACATTTTATTTTTCACATATTAACTTTCCATATATGAAAAACACTTTATATATATGAAATTTTGATTTCACATATAAAACAAGACGCCTGCTCAGGCGTTCACACTGACCTGAAAATGAGGACATACGTGCTATGATGCAATAGACAAGAATACAAATCGTAAACCGCAAGCGAATTGTATGTATTTTTAAAAAAAATAAAAGACCTTTGCGGGAGACCTACGGTGTAAATCTATAACTAGGAGTTACTATCGCAAGGAAAGTGCTGCCTTTTTGCCACATGAACTGAATACAAAAGTTTGTATTTCTAAACAATTCTCTAAAGGGAAGTTTACTTTTGACCCAATGGCATCATTTCCACGTTTCATCATTGGTGGAATGGCAGGCCTGCACATGAAGGTTATATCCCCTATGTTTCCAGCACAAATTTGTTTCTCGTTCATCATTTAAGCAAGTGGATATTAAGGTCTACTAATCTATTAGCTGGCAACACACACTACTTTCAGTAATAACTCTGACTAACGCCAGACAAATTTACACCGTGTACCGCCAGACGATTTTACTTGTCAGTGGTAGAGTACTGTCAGTAAATAGTTTAACAAACACATCTGCCAATGTCTTTTATTAACCCATTAGCTGGCAATGCACCCTACTTTAGTATTTATTGCCTATCTACTTTAGTATTTACTGTATAGACAATAGGCAATTCCGACTTTTAGTTTATGCGTGCAGGGGGTGATGGGAAGTAAGGTATCATATTGGTGAATCTGATTATGCTGAAAAAATAAAAATGGTGGCCGTGTAAACACGGAGTGATAGCTTATACTTGTTAATATTGAAATATTTCGGTTGTTTCGGCAGTTTTTATTGAACATTTTCAACATAATCAGCAATATGATACCTTACTTCCCATCACCCCCTGCACGCATGAACTAAAAGCTGGAATTGCCTATTGCACAGCCAGCAAAGTACTGCCTGTAAATGGGTTAATTTTGCGTCACGCCCCAATTCAAAATTTTACATTTTTACGATTTTTATTGTTTCTAATTATAAATATCTCAGCGAGCACCCCCCCCCCCCC